GCCATACTTTCTGCCATACGTTAATAGGTTTACGGAAGAGAATAGTGTGATCTAACGTTCAAACGAATAAGTTTCTATAATAAAGCGTAAAAAAATAGTTTCTTTTTCATTTGATGTTTCGACTTTTTATAATATTGTTTTAGTGTTTGGCAGTGTCGGCATCCATCACAGTTGGTAGTTAAACTGTAGCAAAAAATTGACTGATGTACGTTTTTGTTATAGACTAATAGCTATATACATATTTACCGTACCAACTTCTGGCAAATTAAAAAAGAAAAATAATGTACTGCGCTAAAAACCGAGACAAATTGAATAGCAGACGAATAAAAACAAAATAGTTACAATTTGAATACATAAAGTTACGTAAATGATAATAATTCCTGGTTCTCTTTATATTTCAACACATTCAAAAGAAACACTATTCCGATGATGAACGGAACACTTGCCGCAATAATTCGATCAAAACCCCCTTAATCATTCCTTAACTTATGACGTGTGCGCGTGAGTTCCGAAGTATTTCAACTACGTAACTAAATTACAAGTCGCCCAAGAATTGCGTTAGTGTTGAATGACACATTGAGGCACAGTGTCACGGTTCGGGACTCCGTGTCGTTGATGTAACTGTGTTAGCTACAACAACACAGCTGAGAGTACTCGTGGGTCGATTTGGTTGAGTGCGTCAAACACAGGAGGTTCGGGATGTCTCACGAATAGAGGGAGTGTTTGGCGACACTTACACTCGACAATGACAGCACACTAGAGTGTTTGCGCACACCAGGACGCATTCAGTTCGCACACACAACTCTACAACTAAGATTCACGTCAGTAAGATTGTTTTTACTGTTTAGTAAGTTTATGTTCAAATAATTTCAGCCTTAGTTTTCCAACATAATATGATGTTTCTGTACTAAGAAGTATAGCAGAAAGAACTTTAATAAACTGTTGAGAGAATAGATATATCGATAGTTCCCGTAAAATTTAAAGTTTAAATACTGGAAGCTACAGGTAGATTACCGATATTCATCGTGTTTCGAAAACTTTCATTGCGCGATACGGGATCAGCAGCTTGGCGGTCTAGATTAAGAATCATACTTTAAGTATGACTCTTTGTGTACGAGTGCGTACATGTCACCAAAATTGGTTTAGTAATGCCATCAGTAGTCATGCAAACAACTACAGTTCCCTCTAACGACAATTAAATTTATGCTTTCCATAGAGGTTTTCCCTTGTTAACGACTTGTTCTAGTTAGATGACAAGAAAAGATTTGAGACAGCGAGTAAATTACATATCTGGCTACAAATCTTTTTGCCTGTTGCTGGGAAATTTGCTTTCCTACCCTGTTTTTGACAGATTAGGATCCTTATTTACATTAGCGAACTACAAACAGTGAAATGGTATACCTCATAAGCTTCTTAGGGATCGTTATTTTATTACAATATTATAATATAACAATTACAACTTAGAGAAGGTGTGTAGAGGCACGTTTACTCCTTTTTTTATGTGTGTAAACTTCCTCGGACCTTCACCCCACCGGGGTTTACGGCGGGGTGGTGTGTCGGAATTGGACCGACTAAAACCACACGGTGGGCCCCTCCTAGCGCCGGCACCACCTTCGGGTATATTCTATATTTAGGCGACGTCTGCCACACGCGGACATGACATCTTCGCCGAAGGAGACCATGAACCGACCTGAAAAATAACTGTGCTTGACGCCAACAAATTAATAATTCATAGTACACAGAATTGGAAGCACTAGCCTTACGGTATATCGATTCTTTAGAGACATACCTTGCGTATCTCTTTATATTTAACGTAGTGTAAGTCAAACAGTCGATAATGCGAACGGAAATGTTTCAAATGTGTTTCATGGAACACTCCTCGTTTATTCCCAGCTGAGTCGGGAGCTGAGCACTCAACCTGCTCGTCGATACGTTTCCCGGTTTCGAATTCAATTCCATTCGTTCCGATCATCGGTTCGCATTGAAGATAAAAATCTAATTTGGGGAAACGTTCGCGTCAACAGTTTTTGGACAGCGCATGACATTTGAGATCGGTCGGTGCGATCGCAACGGTGTAACGATCGAAGATTGAAACGAGTATAGACATTGAAATGGGTGTAAGGAAGAGTTAATACAGCGCTCGGAAGTCATACAAAGTTATAAAATAACATTCATGTTGCGCGAGACACGAATGAATACTTTGAACCTCTGTGGAGTTCCATTTTATACAGTGAACGAGTAGCACAAACTGTTCCTCCTTGGCTGGAGAATTGGTGTGTAACTTTTTAAAAGAAAATATGCACAGAGGATTACAAACTTGCAATAGCAGCGTTACTAAAAAGTTTTTAACTTCGGTTCAAAGTAACCCATAGTTTGAGTTGGGAATTTTCTTCAGGCAATAAATCACCAGGAACTTTATCAGGTATGTGACGACTGGTAAGTAAGCTACACTAAATTGATGGATATTAACGAGTAAGTGTTGCATTTTGATTGTGTAAGGATAACCTGCTCTGAAACGATTAATTACGATGGCTTTGTAGTTAGCGGTATTAGCGTTCACGTTTTTTTCTGCTATAAAATAGATTTTACTATGGTACAGGAATATTTCTTTTCTCATATAAAATTTAGAAAGTAATTTTTTTTTCAAACATTACACCTTTAGACAAGACCTACAAAATGGTGTTTTGGTGAAGTATAATTACTTCTAAAATAAGTTTAATTTCGAAAGTAATTTATTGTCTTTCGATGTCGGTTTAGTGACGGTTCCGTGTGGTAACGGATAAAGTATAAGGAGTGTCATCACCCCTATTCATCCCGTGGGTATCGTAAGCGCCGACTAAGAAAGCAAATTACGCAGGACAACAGCACTGCAAAGAGAAGGAAAACTTGACACAAACCCTATTCTAACCCATCTGGGCAGCGTGGTATAGTAGGCCAAAACCTCCTATCTAAGGAGAGGCCTATGTCTAGCAGTTGACTATTTAAGGCTGTTGATGAAATGTTTTGTTGTATACTTTGACTAGTATAACTGGCATTGTCGTTCTATATATTTATAGACTTTAAATACCGTGACAGGTCAATAGTTCATACATATTCTAGTGTAGGTATATGTCTAACTTGCACTTAACAATTTAGACACAGGGCCGACAGATACCCGCAGAACGACCTCCGTCCTTCATAAGCGCAGGCCTGGGGGTGACAGGTGAGGTCATCTGTCACCCTAGCAGAAGCAGGCCGGGGTGGCGGCGAGACGCGCTGCGAAGCGCACGTGCCCTTTCGGGAGCACAACGGGAACATGGGGGTTCCCACACAGGAGGGAGTCATCTACCCGCCGTAAATGGCCCGAGGTACGTCGAAGTACCAGGGATTCCCTTTCTAGGGTACACCTGGTTCCCCGGCTACTGGTACCCGAGACGGCGTGCGGTTTCGGTTCGAGTCCGACATAGCCACCGGTGGGTGGCACCGAGGGGTAACCGGGGTAAACAGATCCCGAACAAGGCAGAGCCTATACTGTAGTAACCTGACTGCTGATAAACATTCTTCTACAAATGTATATTTCTAAAAATCAATTGGTATTATAAATAAATGACAGTCAGACATTATTTGTTCTGGGCCAATAAAAGCCACGATCTTGACCTCGACTAACAGGTCAGGCTAACATTGACACCAATAGGCTCCTTTATTAGACAGTCGTGTAAAAAAGACAAACAAAATTTCTCTCTTTATAACATTAGTGTGATTAATGACATCGTTTATCAACCTTCAGACATAATATGACAAGAGGAAAAGGAAAGCAAAAGAGGAAATATATTACCTAAAGCATATTTACCGTATCGTACAAAGTAACATTATAACAAAATAACAAGTAATTAATATGAATACGACGATTATTCATTGGTGCGACATAATTATTCTGTAATTGGAACATCAAAACGTACGATCTTGTATTTAATACCATTAATTATGTCACTGATGTCAATTATTTTCAGATATGACATGAATATCCGCTATCCGGCCTATCCGGCGCAAATGCACTATCCGGCCGGTTAAGGGATAGTAGGTATAATGACCGAAATTATTGTTGTTCTAATTCGGTCTGATAGCCGCAAGGTTGGCCGCATATCCAGTTTCGCATAAAAAAATTATCCATTTCACTATTTATTATTTTCGAAAAGAATAGAAAAGTACTCAGTATGAGCGACTGATAGATCTAAAACATAGAATAACAGATACCGTTTGCGTAAAAATGTAAATTATTGTAATATTTTGTCTGATCTTTTTCTAATTTTAGATATAGCAGAAAAAGATAGTATATTTATAGGACAGAAAAAATAAGAGAAAAAAGATAACTAACTAAAGTAAAGGGATTTTCATTTAAAAGGATATTCTGGAGTCCACAGCAAGTTCTACTATCTAATATAAAATGGTTCAGGGAGCCACCTGCGTAGTGCTACGTCATTCAGTTTTCCTTAAAAACAACGGAAACAAGTTCCGTATTTATAAGAAGTAAGTAACCTCGACAGGAAACGTATACTAAAAAGTTTTTTGAGCAAGTTAACTACGTTTACAAAGCAACTCATATTCAAACGTTTAAGATGTCAATTTTCTGTTTCATTACAGACAAATTATTTCTACACAAGCACCTATCAATTACAGGCATTTCTTTATCATTTTTCTCTAGTTAACTAATTTTATCAATTTCTTTGTTGCCAGACACAAACATAAGCTATGTAAAACCTTCTTTTAATTCAAGCTCGCCAGTAGTGACATAAAAAGTGTTAAACATTAAACCTGTGCCCAACTCCGTTTGGGAAACACGGATTATATTGTGCTATGTGTGATCCACTTTAGGCACACGCTCTTTACACGTGCATACATATACATTATAAATACATATTACTGTATGACCGTTGTTGATAACATCATTTTAAGAAGTGCTTCAACAAAATAAGTTAAAACGCGTTAAAACTCAGTAGGATCGAATATTTTTAGCCAAATTTCTAAAGTTTACTTTTTAAATCAAAACTACTGTTAACATTGTTAATGAATAAACTTCTTGACTGCACAAGAAACGATAACATTAGAAGCAAATTTTAGAAGCTAGTTTCCTTATATTCTTATATTCTAACCTAAATTCTAATTAGAGATGGATTATAACTAGAGAAGAAAACGTCTCTTGAGGCTGATCATATTGTATGTCTCACAGAATTGTGAAATAACAACTTGGGCTATAGTTTGAAACAAAAAACTGGAGACTACGTAAACTCAACCTAGCAGGGTTGGGTGAAGGCATTAATCACTGGAGAAAACTTAATTGGACGTCCGCTGGACAGACAGTCACGCGAACAACTTGGGTATAGTTACGGCTACATGTACTTAACTATCTTACTAAAATATATACAAGAATGTTTTCTTAGAATTAGAAATTTGGCGTTAATTCTATTGTTCTTTTTATTTTTAGAACGATTAGCTTACAATAAGCATCTAAGAAAAACAACTCAACCTAATTAATTTGACGTACTGTTGAAAAAACATATTTCTTTACTTACATTTTTATACCAGACACGTTCATTTTTATTTATTGTAGTTGCCATTTAAAGCCCATTATTATTTACATACTGATATATCATCTAATGCCAAACGATTATTACTACGCTACAGGTTATATCCAAACAAGTTCAAGGTGATCGGAGGCGTGGTGAAAAAGTAGTTTATTGACCTGTCTGGTATGATTATAGAAAATTATGTTATGCAATGAATATTTGGTACAATCCTAATAAGTATTTTTTAAAGAATCATTGAAATCACCAATGGAACATTCTGTATACACTCGTGCTATCTCTAAGAACCGGTTGTGTACGTCACGCGCTAACAATACTTACGGCAAGCGAACCACCAACTACCTTGTACCTCGATTTATTAATAACTTGCCACATGAATTAGTTAATAGTGTAACCGACAAAAATATTAAATGTAAACTAAAGCAATACTTCCTTAACCCAATGTAGCTATTATTATTTGATTATTGTGTAGTTATGTAATGTTTTCAAAGCACACAGTACTCGTAATTAGTGTACCAAGTGGACAAATTTTAGTATGTAACTCATTCACTTACATTGTAATAAAGTGTAAACTCTCGACAGCTCAAACATAAACCTATGTGGTTTCTCCAGAAGCTGTCGTTTTGTACGTTTTCTCTGTCAAGTTGTTTTATGTGATAAATAAAAAAAAAAAAAAAAGGTTTCAAGTCAATACACTTAAAATTTACTTATCTAATTACACTAAAATATATTTTGCGTAAGCAACACTTTAATAAACTGCTAAGGAGGAAAGACGTAATGAAAACAAAGTTGTCCTCGCTTTAATTATAATGAATTTCTTATAGCTACGTCACATCACCGAAATCGCCCATACTACTCTCCATAGCAATAAAATAAACCTTAAAATATACTTATTCACTTTCTAATTGGACACGCTTGGTAACCGTAGCATTACATTTTAGGTTTAATACGGTTACACAACCTACTTATTACACGATCTGTTGGATTTAATTTACATACCGTCTGTAATATTGTATATAAACAAACGGTTAGTAATAAACGTACTCACCTGTCCATGGTTTACGAAGCCGTGTCTTCTCGCGATGTCATCCACGTGTTCGGGTCCCGCCGGCACGTGCACGGCGAACTGGTTGTGGTACACGGGCTCCGGGAGCCCCGCGCACACGTGCAGCGCCGCCAGCAGCGCTAGCGCGCGCCATGACGCCACCATGACAATGAATCGACAACACACAATTCACGACTGCATCTGCGACTTAAACAACAGTACTTCGCAACACACGTGGAACTATTGAAAAGTGCTTGACATAAGGATGTGCACACACTATTTGTTGAGCACGGTTGCACTAAGCCTTCACAGTATGCGTGTCTAATGTTGACCCGTTCAAGTACTGTGTCATCCCACTTCGTATTACCTGAAACGAAAAAAGCGGTGTTAAATAATTCTTCAATGTAGAAAGACTAATTAAAGGCTCTCTCAAATTGTAACGTGTACCACTTTCGATAGCAAAAGGTGCTCGAGAGATATTAAATTTTAATAAAGAGTAACTCTCGCGACGGCGTCAAGAAGCGCTCTTTATTTAGCAATATTTTTTACGTTCGAACGAACTCTATAAATATAAAGGCGAATTTAGGGTGCGATAAATATATTTGGTGGAGCGCGGGCGGCACCGCGGCAAATCACGCGCCAGATAAAACGCAATAAGCGGACGCACAAACGCGAACAAGTTAAAAAAATCCGTGGGAAATCCCGAGATAATCCAGATAAGCCACGCGGGCAAAGTATGAAAAGCCTGACCGTGAATATATCAAAAATATTTATGAAATTTTATTCGGAAATTTATCTGACGTCCGCTTCGAGTGAAAGTAAAACCTTTAACCGGAATTCTTTGGGTCCTCCGCCGATTTAGGTTTGTTTGATAATATTTTAATATAATATCTCTCTTTTTGTAGAAATTGAAGGTCACTTGATAGATATAATCAAAGCCTATTGCATGTTAAAGTAAGTGAGTGAGTAAAAATTGTATGCTTTTGTGGACCTTTTATATATTATATCTATGGTCTTAATGAAGTGTTCGGTGCTTAGGTAAATATTACAAATACAGTTGAACGAGCTTACGAAGCTAATATAAGCAAGGTTACTAGAAATATTAATATTTTCTTTTCACAACAGGCTAGAATCAAGTAACAAAAATAGCTATACAAATCCGATGTCTGCAGCGAATGATCCCAATGCGTGAAAACTACGGTGATAGTCGCCTGATATTTAGTCATAATTCTCATATTTTCATAAACTAAACTAATAGACTATCATACACACACAGCACGGAATACAATACATAGATTAGTCTAATAATCTGTTTTCCAAATGAGCAAACTATTAATATGAGTTCTTAGTTTTTTTTTTAATTTGCTATCCAGTTTTATTACAACCAAACAGAAACCTTTATTAAGTTTTATAACGAGATAATAATTAAATCATATTGTATGGACTGTCATTGCAAAAAAAAAACACACTACAAAAATATAAAATAAATGATTACGAAAAATATTACTATACTATACTATATAAATATTATTATACATTATGAGTATGGTTACCTCCTTTTTATCTTAACATGTTACGTTGTGTTAGTACACTATGGTGTAAATTTAAAACTAGTCTATTTTTATCAAGTACCAAAAAAAAATTGTGCAAGCCTCTTCTGTGGGCACAGCATAGCATGTCTAATTGTTGTTACCTATACCAACAAACTGCACCACGAGCAAAAACAAATGTACATTTTTATGGCCTTAAAAAGAGCTGTGTGATAAAATAACATTCGAGAGACGACGACGACTTACGTTTAAAAGGAATTCGATCAAAGCAAACTTTTATTACTTCATGGACCTTTCACTTCAAGGAAATATTAAACAATATGTGCACCGTTTATAGTATGTATATCAAGATATTTATGATTATCAAAGAAAAATACTAGCCAACACGCCATAGTCAACTTTACGACAATATTCTTGAACAGGATATTAGAATTCTCGAATCACGTCTCACGTGGCGACGTTGAGGTAACCAAAATTTCTCACACAGCCTTTGTTATATCCAGAGTTATTACACCGAAGATTTCATATGTAGCCAAAAGGAAGAGTAAGGTTGGTTTTGAGTTTCTCCTTACAACACATTTCTTGAACATTTTGGTTGTGTTAAATTAAATATTAAAATTGAAGTTACGACTTTAGCGCAGTAACTTAAATAAAATATACGAGAGAAGCTTAGAATGCACGCAACAAAGTTTATCCAATTTTGGCTAAGACTCTGTACCTACTCAAAGATTGAGATTAGCGGCGAAATGTTCACATTTTGTTAACTTTGGGAGTTTATCAACTAATTTACAAAAATAAATAAACTGACTTAAGATTATATTTCTAAATAAGATAAATTTTTACATTAAGGCGATTGCGGTTTTGCTGGCTGTTGCTGAATTTATTATTTTTAGTACTAATTAGAACCGTAAATATCATGATTTTAGAAATTTAGTACCCTTTGTGTCTCTGTTGGCAAATTTTCTTTTTTTAACAATAAACAAATTTTAAAATAGTATTTCTTCGCTATCTTTGACAGAGCTGATTTGTTAATAATAATAAATCTAATTATTGATAGTGGAGCCCTATGTATGACCACTAGTACTCGTATATAAAATTAAATGAAAATGCTAAGCTTACTTCTGATAGAACACAGAAGAAATACAGAAGATCCCATTAAATCAGCCCTACCTACTGAAATGTTTCTGTTGTTGAATAAAGTTAGCCGTTTGTCCATTTGACAAGTTTAAGAAAGTACAAAATATACTGAGATTTTAATTGTTTATACCCAACGTATGTCCGTACCCGTTTAATAGCAGATACTTTTCAAATTTGCCTTTAATAAAATTGAACTAAATTTAACTTGGCAAAATGTTTGTTCGTTTAATTTACCCTCTGCTTCCCCTGCAGAGACGGGCGTATATGTATATGTACGTTAAACTGTAGTTCGTAATTATAAAACATACCGACACACCACCGTTGTTGGAGTGTTGAGTTGTACTTTTATAACGTAACGCTTTCGCCCTTCGGGATAATATTTAAAAGGTCTAGGGGTCGTTCGAATTAATTTTGTGCCATAGCCTGGATAATTCCATTAGCCTCTGTAATCGGTGCGCTGCGGACGCGTAGGAGTCATGATATTTACGACTTAATAACGAAAAGAGACATTTATTCCGATAGTATATTTGTTCAAAATTTGTTTTTCAGTTTTATAGTTCAGTTATAAATGAAAAGATAGGAATATAAATAAGAGCCGTTTTACTTAATGTTTACTGATTGCGTATGGATTTTAATTTAATATGAAGTCTTGCAAGTGCTACTGCTAAAAAAAACAAAAAGATCAAACAAACGGAAATTCGATAACATAAGTACGCATTAATACTTAGTTTGACTTAGAAATTATTAGGTAAATATGTAAATTACATGAAATGACTCCTACATGTCATTTACATAATTACCTTCATATATCCGTATAAGTTCAGCCACATTCACAGTTAACGTAAATCAGAAGTCAAATATATTAACATAATCGATTTAGCGATACGAAATTCCCTGAGCAAGTATATTGAAAATACGTCGCGAGACTTTATTAACCTGACAAGTGAAGTGGCACATTCACAATAAGCTGTGTCGATGGATTCCTCCGAACGCCTAAATCTCGCAACCAAACACCTCAATAATTAGCCGGTTATTCGCAGCAGTCGAGCATCGCGGCATGAATAAAACATCGTTTGCGAAACACAAGTGCCATTATTCTGGCCAATCTAATTTGAGCCTCCACTCCCTTACTTGTAAAGACGGGATGGAATGTGCAAAGGGAAGCAAAGGTAATACTGATAGTTCAAGATTATATGGCTTTGATTTACTGGGCCTTCGAGTGCACGGGCCAGATCAAACAAGCCCGAGGCAAATAAACGGTGACGTGGCTAACATAGACCGCTATTACCGATAAGGGGATTAATTATAATGCATTGGTTGTTTGTTGTTTGATTATTAAATTAAGTAATCTTCGAACATCTTGATTATGCAGTTAGAAATATTTTATTCATAATCAATATTTTCAGTTTACTAGTTCTTTTCAAAGTTTACTAGTTCTTTTCATCTTAAAAGAATCGGATATTATATCTTATTTTGAGGCTTTGAGGGTCTTCTTGTTTAGAGAAGACCTGACTGTATCACTTGAACATACTTCATAGAATCAACGCTAAAGAGACTTTAAACTGGCTCCACCTGGAGTAGAACCAATGACAGTCCACAACTAATCCTAGTAATCCTAGGAATGAGACTCGTAATCTACGTAAAAATAAATTAGACTGTCAGTCATTTCAGCGGCCTGAAAGCATTCCGAAAATGAATGAAACCTATGAAAAGCCACTGCTTGTCATAGGTTTCTCCGAACAGTCATTTTCCCCGAACAGTCCACTGGACTGTGATAGGGTGATTGATTGATAGGGAAACGATGGGCCTAGCTGCGCTTTGCAATCTGTGATCTCCATTCTAGAACTTTTCGAAATATCTAAGAATATAAAGTATATAAAATACTTATGTGATCTATATATGATAATCCATACTTCCATATTGATATTATAAATGTGAAAGTGAGTTTGTTTGTTTGCTACGCTATCACGCCTAAACCACAAAACCGATTTTAAAAATTCTTTCACCTTTCACTTTTTTTTACCGCAATAACCGACATACACGCGGGCGAAGCCGAAGGCGAAAGCTAGTATTAATATAATTATATAAACTCGTAACGTTACTGGGAGTACGTTCCTAAGTAAAACCAAACATTAGCGCTTAGAGTTAACAGTGAATGTTTAGTCAACGCCACCAGTTCGAAAGTGCGATAATTGTACACTTCACATTTGCGCTAGTCGTACGTAAAAGCCATGTACATTATCGACAAAGTTCGCTGAACGCTTGTATCGGCTCTTTGTGAACGCACTACAATATATGGAACAATATATCGACACGTTTGGACAGTTACATGTGTTGCACGTTTCAAGTAACTTTGCCTATTTGTAATATAAATGTATATATATGTCAATATCATTTTTTCAATTTATGTTAAAAAATATGCTAAGACGGCTCAACCAAAAACCTATACATTTTCGGTATATACATTGACATTCAACA